CGTAACTGGAAAGTCCGGAGGCTTTGAGCAGTTCAGAAACGAGCTCATGAGGATCCAGAGAATCCTGGATTCTCCGGCGTTGGTCGACCTTGGTAAGGTCGATCTGGACGCTCTGGGCGAGCCGCCCAGGGAGTACGTCTCGGATGAGGATCACGAGGGTCACGTAGATGATGATGGGATGGGCCCATATGTGGACAAGTTCTCATCAATGGGCGACCGCGAGTGCCCTCAAAGCAGGAGCCGCCTTACTATGAGGCAAAGGCGTGGCGTACCACTGAAGAGGAAATTGAGAGGATGAAGAACCTTTTTCCATACTTTCGTGCCGAAAATTATCGGCTTATGTCGGCGGGGACTGGTCCCATAGGTACCAAAGCGCATGTGCAGGGCGTCCTCCCTGCTGGTGCATCGCTAGAGGAGGCACTGATGGCAAAGCCCGATGTGTGCCCGATTGCGAGCACCTACAACCTCACATACGAGGGTGAAGAGGTTGTGTTTGATGCACAGAGCGGGACAGCAGGCAGAATCGCCTGTCCTGCCGGTAACGACATCTTCCATTTTTTCCCCGAAGTTAAGGATGTGTCGGCGATGATTGGACGAAGCTCCAGAGAGTCGCAAATGCTGCTAGAAACTTTGTCGGGCAACACTGACCCAACGCGGTTGAACGTGAAGCCCGGTGAGCCGGCTCCCTTCTTGTGTGGGACGGTTCCAGACATTCTGGGAGGTTGGATGTCAATGACTCTAATCTCAACGCTTTTTGAGGCCCTATACGGGATCCATAAGTGCACGAGCGTCGAGGTGGCGACCTGGGCGGGTTCTCTTGCGAAGGAGAACCCAGCGTACCCTCCAGTCGAGCTCCTAATACGGACAGTCTGGAGGGGAGATGGCACGACTGTGCGCCCGAATGAGGTGCTTTTTGCGCGTTCCACCCTAATCGGGAGGGACGTGCCGTTCAAAGTTTTCAAGCGTTGGGCACTGCGTGACCGAACGCCTATGGGGCCTTTGCTTAGGCCGATGGGAGCAGCGGAGGTCCCTTATACGGGATACGTGCTGCTGACGATGGCCGAGTATCGGTCCGCCCTCAAAACGAGGTGCATCCGGAGGCCCGGCAAATTCGCCATCACAGTTTTCCCCATGCGACCTGAGCAGGTCTGCAGGGGGGAGATCACGATTGGGTTGGAGGGCGCAAAGGTGCCTCTCCTCAAGTTGCCAAGCCCCAATAATGAGGGCGAATTTTATGTTGACGACCGCGTCAAATACATGGACAAGCGCCATGTCGTTGTGGCCGTTGACCTGAAGTGGATGGCCATCGAGGAAGCCGCCGGCATCTATAAAACCCGACGCGGTTTGATTGCTGTGCGAGAGGAGATACATGCGCCCTTCTGGCGCGCATGCTATCTGCACCAGGAAGGGGATGTGATATACATCCGTCCCTGGGCGGTTCGAGGGGTGAATGTCCAGGGACCGCGGAGAGGGGTTTCATTTTCATGGGACAAAGCTCCCATGCATGACTACTGGTGCCCTCGGTGCGCGCATTTGAATATGTATGGCACCATTCTATGCAATGGTTGCCATTTGCCGATTTTCTATCGAGAGTGGGTGCCAGGCACCATCCGCTCCCAAGTTAGGAGAGGGCAGCCAGTCTGGTTGGACGGACTCAAGGCAGTCCGTGCCAGCAGCTGGTATGAAGGGGAGACTGACGTGTGGGCTCCTCTCATGGCGTCGGTAAACCCGATCCGCGAGGTGGTCAGCTGTATGATCTCCGGTTTGCGCTGTGCGCCGCACCTTGTGCATAATCCCAATGCGGATATTGTGCAAGTTGCGTTTCAGGAGGTTGCAAAGGTCACCTCAAAGGACACTCACGCTTGTGTGCGTGCGAGTGATGAGGCTCTCGAGCGGTGGGTAGCGAAACAGCTGCTCATCGAGGAGAGCAATACTGGCGTCCCAATTCCCGACAATATGTCTGTCATGACATATTTGATCGAGCATCCGCAACAGGCGGCGCAATGGGGTCGTCATATGACGAGAAAGGGCAGTCTAAATTCAGCATTTGCCCTTTACCTCTCTGTGCATATTTACGATGCCTACCGCATCGGAATTGAGGACGGCTATTTGGTTCCGCTGTATGGCCTAGGCGCCTCACGCGCGGATATCATAATGTCATTGGTGCAGGCTGAGCGACGCCTCGCGGACTTCAATAGTGAGGATCCGAGTTTTGATCCCTCCACCGTTCTTGATTTGAGTATCGACTCTTTGCGGGCCAGTGGTGGATCCATCACGGCCCCGATTGAGTATGCTGAGGCATACATTTATGTCGAAGACAACAAGGTTGACATGGTCCCCGCTGCACAGCGGGACGGCCAATGCGCCATTGTTTTTGCTGACCCGCCGACTGGGAAGCACCACAGGCGGGCAGCCACTCCTAGGGGAGATCATCGGTCTGCTACCCCGCGACCTGAATCCAGGTCAAAGGGGGATCAGCAAAAGGGCAAAGCCCCTGCGCAATCCTGGCCCAAGGGTGGAGGTCACAAGGGTGACCAGTTTCCAGGAAAGGGTCACAAGGGTGATCAGTACAAAGGCAAGGGTGGCCAATACGGCTACCAACAAGGGCAGTTCGGTCGCGGCGGATCCGCCAGATCGAGAACTCCCACTGGCGGGTATCAGCCTGATGCTCGCGGGTCGGGATACAAGGGTGCACAGGCTGCCCCTTACCCGTTCCCGAGTCCGATGTATCCCACTTTCCCAGTGGGAGGATACATGCAACAGCCCATGGCTGGCATGATGCCACAAATGTGGCCTGGCGCAATGCCGCAGGGTTGGCAGCCGCATATGCAGGGTGATCCCCGCGAGTTCGAGAATCCGAACTCGCCGCATACCCCTACATGGGGTGACGGTGACGAGTTGGCCGAGACAGTGCCCCCTCCCCCTGGGGACTGGAATGTCAGCAAGGGGAAGGGACGGCGCGGTGGCGGACGACATCGGTAATACCCGAAGTCTGTATATGTGTTTTGCATGGCTGCGCCAACGCGCGCATGTTTTCATTTCGGAATTTGCAAGATGGACTATGCTCCTTGTCGTATTTCGTTGTCTGGGCTATTCGTCACTTCAGAATTCAACTGCACGCGTAGCTGTGCGCTATTCGCGCAAGCTGCGATTACCTGTCAGGTGTGCGTCGCCACAGCAAGGCAGTCACTCTCGGCGGCGTCTATGGCCGCTGGTGATCTGCATCCTCCTGCACCGCTGCTGCTGCTGGTGATGGTGCTCATCAAGGTGCCGGGGTGAGGATCACGGATGCCCCGCACCGCTGCCGGTGATGTCCTACTCGGACCTAGACCGCGGATCGCTGCTGGTGGTGTCCGTGGCGATTGTCCTCGAATGATCGCGCGCCTAGACGGTGCTAATTTATAACCAAGGCTCATTGGTCTATGCACCATGTTTCAACCGACTGGCCAATGCGCCTAATCTAATAATTAAAAATTAAATCCACTTGAATCAAATGATTCAATGTGGTTGCAATGCAAATGACAATTCTTTGGCTTCATGCCGGCCATTCAGAAGTTGATCCTTTGTTCTTTTCTTTGTTGCTTTCTCTTGTTTGATTTGGCTACCGGCGAGAATCCGCCCCATACCCGTAATTCGGGGTGGTGGCGGGATCCGGGCTTCAATGCGAGCCCGGGTATGGGGTCGCGAACCCTGGTAGCCTAATCGGCTTTGTTTGTCTTGTTTGTTGCGTTTCAACTTCAACATGGCCAATGCGCCCTTCCAAATTCACTCCTTCTCTTTGTACAGGCGAGGGGGGTGTTTTTGGGGGCATGTATTTTTATCATAGCAGTTTGTAGTACGCCATTACCCAACGCGGTATTTGGCTCAAGCTTTTCAATCCGGCAACTAGCCCTTGCAATTTCGTCACCGCGCACTGCGGCACGTCACGCTCATCTTCGGCAAACAGTGCCGCTGCCGAGCGCTCGTGGTGGTGTTTCCGGTGGAGGTTGGTCGGGGGATCTGGTTGGGGTTGGTGCGCATTTGGTTTGCTTTGCTTGCTTCGCTGCATTGTTTGCCTGCTTGGTTTGCTGCTTTGTGCTTGCTCACGGTTGTCTCTGCCCTTGCTGGGTTCATTCATCTTTTGGTTAAAGGCACCCTGTTTTGGTTCGTTGTTTGTGCCAGCCGGGGGCACCGCTTTGCCCTTGGGACTGGGGGACTTAAACAATCTCTTCTTGTTGGTGGGATTGGGCCTGTTTATTCTCTCCCGAAACTCTGTTTCAAACCCTTTCGCACTTTCTTATTGATTGCGTTGACCATGAACTTGAATGTTCCAAGTTTTGAGTGCCTTGGCAGACATGTTTCTGATTTGCTTAGAGCTTGCCATTGTTTTTTTAGTCTTTTGTCTTCGCGACTGCTTGGCTACCGTTTGGCTTAGATGGTGGAAGACCGTGATGTGGGGTGCAGGGCACGGTGCTGTCGGAGCTCATCGTGAAGTTCTTCCACGGCGATTTCACGCCCCAGGGCTTCAAGCGCTACTCTGGCCTGTGGAAGGGCCCTCCTCCTGGCAACATCGGCAAGAAGGCGAGCAGAGAGACCAGAAAAACCAGGGAGACGGGCAGACTACAAGGAGGACGGGCAGACTACAAGGGAGAGGAGGGAGACGAAGAAGAGATAGAGGGTTCGGCCAGAGATCCAACGAAAAGGAGACCTGACACGTTGAAGGCTTGTCATGAGTTCCCTGGGCAATCCCCGCTCCGTTTCGGCATTTCCGAGTGACCACTTGAACGTTTTCTGTGGCAGGACATTGCCATCGGTGTTGAGAAGCTGAAGGAGCAGATGGCCAACCCCATGCGACTTGTCAGCTGAGGGATGTCAGTAGGCTTCTCTTGCATGCATTCCATTCCACTTTCCTGCCCAAGCAGTATGGTCTACAGAGGCATGTTTGAAGAAAACATTGATGAGACTAAGTCCAAGCTGGGATTTTTGGTGAGGGTTGTGCTGGCCTGAGGTTCGTGACCAAGGGCGGCGTGGGCTACGGTGTGGATGAGACGCAGAAGGTGGTGGACGATGGCAAGGGCTGGGTCTGGCTGGCAGCCGAGATGAGCCCGGGAGGCGCGTGGATGCATGACGCCACGTCGCGACGACGGGTGTCGCCGAGTGATGGAATGGCGCCCAAGTGACGGGCCCCGTATGAACCTTGTTTGCCGCAAGTGATGGGCTGGTTCGGCTGGTTTGTTTGCAGCTTCGAGAGGCCTCGCCGTGGAGCTCTTCAAGGCCGTGCCCTACGGCAAGCGTGCTGTGCTGGTGGCCAAGCAGAACAACGTGGCGGAGCTCTTCGACAAGGCCCGGCTGAGAGCAGCCGAGCGTCTTCCCGGTTCAAGCGATTTCCGTGTTTTGGTGTCTCCGGGCGCAGGTGAATTGGGATACAGCCCTGGGGAACATCGAGAAGACCTTCGGCGGGCCTCAGGTGGGATCGAGCGCAGCGATAGGTATATCGTTCAAAGCTTGAGGATTCTTTGCCTAATGGCCCAGTGAAGCAGCGCTGAGGGGGGGAGGCTCGGGATCTGCAAACCACATCTCCCAAGCAAGCTACGAGGATGTCACAGGTCATACACAGGGTATTGGCCATCGGCAGTTTTCTACACACTGCAGACGTGTCTTCCCTTTTGGGGGACGGGAGTGCTGACAGCCTCGCGCAGATCAAGCAGCGCTGAGCACCATGCGCAGCCTTGCGCAAGTTGTTCAGGTGCGGGTTGGGGCATGCGTTTTTTTTTTGCTTGCAAGGGATTGTGGCGTGCATGCATTCGATCAAACATTGGTCTCTTGTTGACATGGGATTTGGAGTCAGTGGGGCACTGGTGTGCAGCAGTGAACTGGCCCTAAAGCGCCTGCTGCCAGACTCAGCCACCTTTCTATGGACACTTAGAGAGGTGTTGGAGTTGCCACGTTTCTTCTTGGCACTTTGACGCATATTGTTTGAGCACCATGGGTGAGCAATGGATTTGCCTGCAATCTCCACCGTTGATTGTCAGAGTCTCGCGTTGTGGCCAGGTGTGGAGCGTCCTTGTGCCAACCAGTTTTCTGCCTAAAGGCGATGCCTGGTCACCTCACTGTGGCCGGGCGAGTTTCTCACAGGGTGCTGCCACCGCAAGGGACAAACCATCCATCCACGGACTTGTTTGAACCAAGGAGTGGCATTTTGCAGTGCATTGAGTCTGCTTGTTGATTGGGCTGGGTAGCTGAAGTTATGGTTTCTGATGCATTTGAGTACATAGCAGACATAGCAATTATGCAAAGTCTCCAGGTGCGCCAAGTACCCTCAGAAAATTGCCTGCGCGGCTTTGCTGCTTTGATTTTGACTCTGTGATGCCGTTATTCTCCATGCTTCAAAGTCCTATGCCGGGTGCCAGGTGATTGCGTTGCTGTGCAATCTGGCCAACTGAAATTGCCCTTGGACGCTCATCAGCTTGGCTCGACGCGAAGCTGCGATTTTGCCAGCCACCATGGTGCGAGCGTCCAACCGCCTGTTGGTGTCACCTGACTGCAATGAAGTGTAGCAGCAGTCAGGCAAGAGGGTGACCGCAGGGGCAAGAGGGCGCCAGAGGCAGCAGAGGATTCGATCAGGCACAGATAGGTGATGTCAGCATGTCTCGGCGAAGGTCAGCCGTGCTGGCCGTCGGGGCCTTCACCCTGACGCGCCTCTGCTTCGTGGCGCCGCCGCCTGCCGTGCACCAGCCGTACCTCGGCTGGGCCGTTGGGGCATGTGGAAGTCGGTCAGGGGGCTGGGTCAAGCTGGATCCGGTACGGCGTATGCTGGGGCGGTTGACTTGCTTTGCTGCTTTGAAATCCGGTACAGCATATTTGCCGTCAGTAAAGATGCCACACGTCGGGCTGCCCAGGTTGCGCCAGAGCCACGTGGCGCTGCAGGCGCGCGGCGGCGGCGAGTACGACGTCAGCCCCCTGGCCAGCAGAGAGTTGCTGGATTCTGTTCGGGCAGGGTATTACGGGAACAAGCTTGTTGACGTACAAGGTATGTGCCAGGGATGTTGGACGGGGTCCATGCAATGGTTGGTCATTTCTATGATTGGGTGCCTGCATGGTCGCAGCCAGTGCCTTGTTTGCAAGGCGACGCGGACATTGATGCCTTCTACAACTCCCTGCTGACGGGATCGGGCGGTGACCCCCCCAAGGCGCGGAGTATCGAAGAGAGTTTGGCGAGGATAGGGCCAAGACTGGGAGGTCGACAAGCAGGTTGTTGTTTCCTTTCTTATTGATTGCGTTGACCATGAACTTGAATGTTCCAAGTTTTGAGTGCCTTGGCAGACATGTTTCCGATTTGCTTAGAGCTTGCCATTGTTTTTTTAGTCTTTTGTCTTCGCGACTGCTTGGCTACCGTTTGGCTTAGATGGTGGAAGACCGTGATGTGGGGTGCAGGGCACGGTGCTGTCGGAGCTCATCGTGAAGTTCTTCCACGGCGATTTCACGCCCCAGGGCTTCAAGCGCTACTCTGGCCTGTGGAAGGGCCCTCCTCCTGGCAACATCGGCAAGAAGGCGAGCAGAGAGACCAGAAAAACCAGGGAGACGGGCAGACTACAAGGAGGACGGGCAGACTACAAGGGAGAGGAGGGAGACGAAGAAGAGATAGAAAGTTCGGCCAGAGATCCAACGAAAAGGAGACCTGACACGTTGAAGGCTTGTCATGAGTTCCCTGGGCAATCCCCGCTCCGTTTCGGCATTTCCGAGTGACCACTTGAACGTTTTCTGTGGCAGGACATTGCCATCGGTGTTGAGAAGCTGAAGGAGCAGATGGCCAACCCCATGCGACTTGTCAGCTGAGGGATGTCAGTAGGCTTCTCTTGCATGCATTCCATTCCACTTTCCTGCCCAAGCAGTATGGTCTACAGAGGCATGTTTGAAGAAAACATTGATGAGACTAAGTCCAAGCTGGGATTTTTGGTGAGGGTTGTGCTGGCCTGAGGTTCGTGACCAAGGGCGGCGTGGGCTACGGTGTGGATGAGACGCAGAAGGTGGTGGACGATGGCAAGGGCTGGGTCTGGCTGGCAGCCGAGATGAGCCCGGGAGGCGCGTGTGGATGCATGACGCCACGTCGCGACGACGGGTGTCGCCGAGTGATGGAATGGCGCCCAAGTGACGGCCCCGTATGAACCTTGTTTGCCGCAAGTGATGGGCTGGTTCGGCTGGTTTGTCTGCAGCTTCGAGAGGCCTCGCCGTGGAGCTCTTCAAGGCCGTGCCCTACGGCAAGCGTGCTGTGCTGGTGGCCAAGCAGAACAACGTGGCGGAGCTCTTCGACAAGGCCCGGCTGAGAGCAGCCGAGCGTCTTCCCGGTTCAAGCGATTTCCGTGTTTTGGTGTCTTTCTGAGATTCTGTTGTGTGTCGCCGGTTGTCAGTCACTCGTTGTTGTGACTGGGGGTTTTCAGCCGATGTTTCCCGGCGCAGGTGAATTGGGATACAGCCCTGGGGAACATCGAGAAGACCTTCGGCGGGCCTCAGGTGGGATCGAGCGCAGCGACGGGTATATCGTTCAAAGCTTGAGGATTCTTTGCCTAATGGCGCAGTGAAGCAGCGCTGTGGGAGAAGCCTTGTGTAAACTGGTTGGGCTCTGGTCTGCATGCAAGGGATCGCAGTACAGGCGAATTGGAGTCGGATCTCCAAGAAGCACATCAAACCGCTTTAGTTACGCTAGACTGTCCGTAGTCCTTCTTCAGCTCAGGCCAGGGCTTACATCTAGATTTGCTCCTAGAATAAGCCCTTTCCCCTCCGAAAAGAGTGCCGGCCTTGCGCAGATCAAGCAGCGCTGAGCGCGGCACGCCGTGCGCAAGTTGTTCAGGTGCGGGCTTGTAGTGAAATGGCCAAGTTTCTTCAAGGCATTTTGAGCCACTTTGTTGCCTGCAGTTGCCGTCTCGCGTCGCCAGGTGTGGCCCCGTGCCAAGCATTTTTCTGCCAAACGGCGATGCCTGGTCACCTCACCGTGGCCGGGCGAGTTTCTCAGGTGCTGCCAGCGCAAGGAACAAATTTGTGACATTTTGAAGTGTATTGAGTCAGCTTGGTGATTGGGCTGGTTAGCAGAAGTTGCTGTATAGCTCGGAAAAAATTGCTTGGGCGGCTTCGCTGCTTCGACTTTGTTTGAACTGATCCCATGGAATGACAGCGAATTTGAGATCATGCGTGTGAGCTGAAAGTTGAACACATTTTGTTCATGACATTCAGCGCTGGCATTGCTTTTTGCTCCCTCTCAGAACGTGTGATGCTGCAGCTTTTGGCTGGAAAGAGAACTTCAAAGCCGCTGGGATCCGTGATTCATGCGTCCAGCTTTCATGAGGCAGCTTCAAAGGATCGACTGCAAACGATTCTGACAGATTTCCGCAAGGTGATTCTGACAGATATTCGCATTCATTGAGCGGCAATGCCGGTGATCTGCATTGGCAAGGGGCTCAGAGGACGCCAAGAGGCAATGGAAGAGTCCCCCAAATGACTTCCACTCAAAATGGCGCCAGAAGTGAGTCTAGGAGTGAATGCATGTTTTTGGCTGTAACATAAATTCGCCCGCTCGGAGGCCCAGTGTGCATCCCCTGGTCAGTGCTGCCTGCCATTGTCTTCTTCTTCTGGAAGTTTGTGAAGCCGTTGCTGCCCGAGGCTGTTGGTCGGAACGGCATTTTACACAAGCAACGGTCAATATATTTCTACCATCCTTGGCGGCAAGGATGACATTTGGACATCGGGGCACTCGCCAAATTCCCCCACTCACCAAAATCTTGAAATAAGAGTGGGGGACACACTGTATAGTGCTACAGCTTGTACTGAATGTGATTTGCTTGCGGAGTGAGCCCAGAAACCATTGTATAATATAGGAAGGGCATGAGAATCATCCAAAGCGACCTCGGCATCGGCTGCACAGCGTTAATCCAAGAAGCAGCCAGACCGAGGGGCTGAGGGTACCGCACCCGAGCCTCCTATGGTAGTGCCAGAAGGTCAACTCAAAGCCAAGACGCACCGCCAGCTGTTTTCTTGGGCCCAAAGTGCAGACGCCAGGCAACTCTTTTCCCGGGGTCTCTTTCCAACACATATTATATATATATATATAATGTATTTATGTATATATATATATATACATATATTTGGCCCACATATGGGCAGAACTTCTATCCGATCTGCTCATTTTCCGTGTTCTTTGTGCCCACCTCGTCACTGGGATGTCTTCTCACCGCAGCGACTTCGCCGCGCGCGGCTTCGCGCAGGCCTGGGCGCAGGCCATCGAGCGGCAGGCAGCGAAACTCAGCGAGATCTTGCAGCCTTACCTGGAGAAGGCACGGCCCAAAAACCATTCGCTTCGCTCCCCAAGCGCTTGGGAGCGGCGCGGCGCAGGGGGGGGGGGGGGTATGTGGGTGTGTGTGTGTGTGTGTGTGTGTGTGAAGCGTCCTGGAGCACGGACGGAAATCCATTGCAGGGGGACACAGCACTTCACTGGGACTGTGTCCAACGAAGCTACCAGTGAAGTGGGATATCCAGCTTGGCCAGCTGGACGTACCTGCCTTTCCTTCTTTTTCCTGACTGTTTCTCTGTCCTGTTCGCTGTTGCTTCCCGGTTTCTGTTCTGCATTGTGATCTGTCAAGCAATTTCAGCAGTTGCAGGTTTTTCCAACCTTTGCATCTCGGCTAGTGAAGCCTCTCGAGATAAGTGTGTTTACCCACGGCCTGTCCGACATGGCGCTGTGGGCTGGACTCGCCACATGCGGGAGCCCCCTGCGAGGGGAAGACCGTTCAAGTGTTCAAATTCAAGCTGCAGTTCAGTTCAGCGCGTTTGACCACGATCAAGGCTGCAGCTTGAGGTCTTAAGGTATTCCGCACCCAAATGGTGCTCTGCTGGTTTCATGCGCGTTGCACTGCCTGCACTGCCTGCCTTTGATGCAAGGCTGCACCCACGAGGTTTCAGGTTCCTAAGCTTCATGCGCCAGTGACGAGTTGGTCATACACCAACTCTGCAATTCGTGGTGTTTATGGAAGCTTTCGTCTCGGATGAGTTCAGTTCAGATTCATCGGCATAGCCACATGAGGCACTTTCATGAGGCCACTTGACAGGCACCTCTGAGAACCCCTTTGTGCTCGCATGCATTTGCACCATTGACGCATTTTTGCTCGCATGCATTTGCACCATTTGCGTCCCTCGAAATTCTTTTGCTGTTGCCGCGGGGTTTCTTGCGGTCCCCTGGTGGAATTCCCTCTGCTTGGTTTTGTGTGCTCGGGTTTGTCGTCTTTGAAAATTTTTTGCCGTTGCCGCGGGGTTTTTGGCGGTCCCCTGGTGGAATTCCCTCTGTGTGGTTTGTGTTCGCGGTTGTGGGGTTCGGTGTTGTGTCGGCTTGACGCATTTTTGCCGCAGTTGTGGTTTTGTTTCACCCCTTTCCAACCTTCTCTCTCCCTTGCGAGATGGCTGGACACCAGCTCTATGACATGATGCATTCGCTCCTGCACAGCATTGCGACCGGCACCGCGTCCGGCTCACCAGGCAATTGTGGACCGAACTTGCAGCTGTCATCCCAGATGACGCAGCCCATGAACCTTGTACCGTCACCCAACTCGCAGACGGCATCCTTCACACCTTTCCCCATGATGCCCTACGGCGGCCTCTCGAACTTTGGCAACCCGATGGCCATGATGCCCTACGGTGGCCCTCCCAATTACGGCAACTTGGCACCTGGCACCATCATGCCTTTCATGACTCAGAGCAGCATGCCATCTTCACTGCCCGAGCCTCAGCCGGCGCGCGCGCCCGAAGCTGCCGCTGCGGCTCCTGCCGCTACCTCCTCAACCAACCACCCTCCCCCGGACACTCGGCACCATCCCCACTCTCGCAGATCCCGTTCCCGCCACAGACAGCACCGACACTCCCACTCCCACACCAGCCACCATCGCAGGCACAACAAGTCGCACCGACGACACGACACCCGACGATCCCGCAGCTACAGCAGGTCACGTTCCCTTTCCCGACACTTCCACCACTCCCGACGTGCACACCACTCCACTGTCTCCCTCCGCTCCCGCTCCCCCCGACACAGGTCCCACCATCGACACTCCCCTGCACCCAGAGCCACGACTTCGCACCGACCCACTCACACTACTCATGATTCCACCTCCTGGCGCACTTCCGGGAAGGATTCCAACAAGTCTCAATGGTCCTCCTCACACTGGCGGAACCAATCGTGGGGATACCCACCACAGAACAAAAACCGCTGGGACATGCACCACCATGGCGCCAGCCACACCGGCCACCGAAACAACCAGGACAAACGATCGTCCTGGTCACTGCAGCACCATGGGCAGCAACCCCACCCCACTTCCCGCACCGGCCACCACAACACTAGCTTGCCCCCTCACCCAGCACCTGCGGCGGCCTTCACTTCCACTCCCCCTCCCCCTCCCCGACCCACGCCGGCTACTCCTCACCCTCCCCAACCCCCCTTCGACAACACCGGTGATTTGGATCCCCCTCCATCGGAGGCGGACATCAATGCCACCACCACTTCCGACAACCGGTGGCTTGATCTATGGAGAAACGTCATGGACACGGCCAAGACTGACCCGCTGCGAGTTCCCACGCCTAGGGAGTTGGGGGAGCTGGACCCGCTTCCAGCCTTGGACATCTCCAGGGTGGAACAGACTAAGGCCATTTTGATGGACCTGGACCCTGCTTTGCCACCTTCACATGCCGATCTCCTCGCGGAATGCTGGGAACTGCGAACCATGGACACGGATGATCCCATACCGTTCGATCCCAGCTTCTACCACCTCTTGGGACGGGAATCACACGGCATGGTGTTCGCAACCACTTGGTTTCCCCGACCTCATCCTTGGCCAGTTGCTGGCGGAGACCCGGAAGCTGGATCCGGCACGGCCTCCCATCACGCTGTCATGTATGTGCACGGCACCACCCCGGATCGAGTGCGCCGCATGTGCCATGAGAACATGATCCGACCCGCTGCTTGGAGGCCCGAGAACCATGACTACCCGAGCTTTGGATGCTACGCTCAGGCCACCCCCACGGCATGCACGCCCGACACGCTCGGCCAGCTCTTGCAGAACTTTACAATCGGAAAGTCTCAACTCGGCGCCATCGCTTTTGGGGAACTACGCTCCATCAATCAGCACAAAATCCTCGAATCCGGGGGAAGCCACGAGGATCAACACAACGTGCGGCGCCACTTCGCATGCCGCCGAGGCAAAAAGTGGTGCCTTCACTCCAAGTTTGCGATGCTGAGAGGCATCGCGCTGCAGCGCCCGGCTTAGCGGGGCGCAAGTGTACCATCTTCCACCCAACCAGGAAAAGAATTGGTGCACTGTTTGATCGCCTTTTTTCTTTGCTTTGCTGTTCTGCCTTTCCGCGACCGTTCTCTCGCCTTGTGACCTTACCCGCTTGATTCCGCTCACCAGCTTGTGGTTCGAACATTTCCTTTTCCCCCGTGTTTTCTCATGGCTTTCCAACCCCCTCGAGGTTTGGTTACGGCGCTCCAAAGGCAAAACTTACCACCGCAGCCTTCGCCCACGGCATCCCATCATCATGGCATCGTGTACGGCAACAACATGGCCGGGAACCCGTGCGGGGCCCTGTCCGGGCCTTCCTACGGATGCTCTTCCACGGCATCGGCACCGCCAGCTACACATCCGACTCCCTGTCAGACCTACGGCCAACCTATTCCCCGTTACCCACCACACCCCGGCCCTCGTCCACCCTCCTTTGGCGGCTCTCTCCCCCCCCCTCCCGGCGGCACCCCGACCCCTCCCCCCCTCCCCTCCCCACCCACTTGGAAGGAGCCCCGCGACTTGCTCCAACCACCTCCCCACGTTTGCCAATGGCTCACCAGCAACTTCCCACCCGACATTTCCGACACCAAAGTCCAGCGATGGATCACCTCTCAGAAAACCAGCAAAGAGAGCAAGCAAGTCCTAAAAAGCTGGTCCAACGACTGCGCAAAATGGGCAACCACACTGGACTCCGACACCAGAGCCCAACTCGAACGAGCCGCTGTGTATGGGGCATCCCGGTGCGAACCCTATCAAAACTGGGGTCATCGGCCTTGGGCCGCATCCTGGCCGCTGCGAGTCACTTCTACCAGTGACTCTCAACAGCACACCGACAACGACGCACAGCCAGGCAGCACAAATTTTGGCAACACCACTGCTGCCAACTTCTCACTGTCCTCCGTTTCACTCTTCGGTTCTTCCCAACCGATGACGTCACCGCACGTCATTCTTGCTCCTGGCTACTCGCACAGCTTCAGCTACTTGACGTCTGCCATCTCTCCTGTGGTTCCGGCAGACTGAAAGCCCTGCTTACTCGACTTGGCCTGGACAACCCTGCTTCCGATTTCTCTTCTCAGCTTGTCCCTTCAGCGGTTTATCTGAGATTCACCAGCCATCCAAAGTGGCAGGCCTTTTTCTACCTCGGAGCCACTCGCGCCTCCCTCATGGCACGGGGCCGCAGCCAACTTCGCAAACTACTCCAAGTTCAGCGACATCATCTGGTCAATGCCGAACTGGCAGTCCGGTGGTGGGCACATTTTGACTTTTTCCACCACTACACCTCGGTGCCCATTCACACTGTCGTTCCGGCAACGGACCTATTTGCCACTGAACAGTTCTACATCCAGGAACTGCAACCGTCTCTCAATTTTGGCTTCATCGAGAAACATTTCCGGCCACGCACGGGCTTCATACGCCAATTGGACTTCTCCCAATCCCGGCACATGGGCTTCGCCACCATCTGGCGAAAACGCCGCCGACTACGACTACCCATCGCCCTACAACAGGCCTTCCTGGCCAAACGCGTGGACAACCGCCTGGATTTGTGGCGATTTTTGGGCGATCTTGGCAGCAACACTCTACGACGATTTGATGCCATCCGTTACATACGGAGCAGAGACTTCCCACCCGCCGCTCTCTATGTCCTTCATCGCATAGCCACACACCTGCCTGAACCACACCACCAGGCATGCCTTTCCGCCATTCGATCCAGTTTACGATTCCGGGGCCTCATTCCACCTGGCCCCTCCAGACCGATGCTTGCACCCTTCCTCGCCTGGCGACTACTGCTAACCTGGTACCGACAACGACAACCACACTCCTCTACCACACACCTCACAGTGGACACACTTGACACCTCTGCCATCACCCGCGTCTACAACGGACGCCGTCGCCGACACAAACCCACACAACGCACCCTGTGGCTCGACGACATCCCCGAGATCATTCAGGCCACCCTTGACATGCAGATCTTCTCTGTCGGCCTTCGTTCATTCAGGCAAACACGTGGGGCACCGATGGGATCCCCCGCGTCCCCAGCTCTCTGTTTGATGGTGATCGCGGTCGCCGAACAATGTTGGACCAACACTCACATCACATCGGGACTTCGCTCCGTTGAAGATACTCTCCTACTCCGCTACGTGGACAACAGACTCGTGATCGCAACCCCCAGGTGGCTCTCGACTCCGGCAGCCAACATACTGTGCGACGAACACTTCTATGGAGGAGACATCTTCCTGGACACAGAAGCCGCCCTGGACTTCTTGGGGTTCCGACTGAACCTCACAAGCAGCACCATCTCCTTCATCCCCTCGCATGAGAAGCACAACATGCTCTCCGTCAAGTCAGCCGCACCACTGATGCATAAGGAATCTGGATGTTATTCCGGACGCACGCTGATCAACCGAGTTTCCTTTCCTGAGTTTCAGCGAGGTCAGGGTCTTGCAATGTTGAAGAGGTTGCACCTCCAACACGGTTTCACCTTACAAAGAGAAGAAAAACCGTCCTTTGCGGAACCACACTGGTTTTCTTCTCTGCCTTTGCATCCTGACAGATTTGACCTGATTTTCGCGCCGCAGCTGTTTGACTGTTTGACCAAAATCCGTTACGAGCATGGATACCAACACAGCACGCCAGCTGCTCCAAGACTTCGAACTCATCCTTGGCATTGCCCAACAAGGCATCGCCACCATCCGCGAGTTCCCTGAGAGTCCGCCTGCCGAACCTGATTTGGCACCGGAGGCCACGCTCAACCCCGCCATTGAGGACCTCTTTGAGCCACCTCCTGATGCTCCAGATGAACACCTTCCCACTGATCATGACGAACAATTCCCTGATCATTGGGCTCCGCCCACCCCTCCTCCGTCTTCTCCCGGCGAAAAACGAGCTCGCCGCGCACGTGATTTGGCCTCCTCACGATCTACGGCATCCAAAACCTGCTCGTGGACCAAGCGAAGCTACCACATCGACCAGGACTGATGCCTCTACTGAGGCCGAACCTGAAGCCTCGCAGCCTTGGACTGAGGGAGAGATTGAACTCCTCCGTTCCCTTAAGACCAATTCCAAAGCCAAGTATGTGTGGTCAGTCATCGCCACAAGACTTTCTCGCACAATTGATGCTTGCAAGACTCAATGGGCCTTGCACAAGTGATGTCGCCCCAGTTGGGGCTCCGTGTGTGTGAAGCGTCCTGGAGCACGGACGGAAATTCCACATTGCAGGGGGACACAGCACTTCACTGGGACTGTGTCCAACGAAGCTACCAGTGAAGTGGGATATCCAGCTTGGCCAGCTGGACGTACCTGCCTTTCCTTCTTTTTCCTGACTGTTTCTCTGTCCTGTTCGCTGTTGCTTCCCGGTTTCTGTTCTGCATTGTGATCTGTCAAGCAATTTCAGCAGTTGCAGGTTTTTCCAACCTTTGCATCTCGGCTAGTGAAGCCTCTCGAGATAAGTGTGTGTGTGTGTGTGTGTTTTTTTGTGCCGAAGAAAACCACACCTGGTGCGATAGGTAGGGAATGTGGGAATATATGTATGGGTCCCCTGAAAGGAAACCACCAGTTGGATGGTTGATAGGGGTCATTCCATTTCTCATTCCCTGCCTATCCCACCAGCAAGAAAGACAAGGTTCGTTGGGAAGGGCTGGGGCCTTGAGCATGCGGCTTCTGGGCCTTGAGCGCTCGTGCCGGGCTTCGTCACGGGAATCCGCGTGCAAGTTTGGATTTGGGTCGCCTTGGAGAGATGAAGCCTGAAGTGGATTGGGTCCGCCAGTCACTTGGCTGTGGGTCAAGACCGTTTTGGGATCCCATCTTTGGGGTGGGGGGTACGATTTGGATTTTGACCCATGGCCAGGTGACAAAACAAGGGGCATTCTCTTTGGTGGCTAGCCCGACTGGCCCGACTGTTCAGGTTCCAGGCTTCGGAAAGAAGAAGAAGAAGGCGGATGGGTCTCGAAAGCGGCTTTTACAGGATACTGAGCAACCCAAAGCCTCCTGTTGTACCGAGGGCTCGCCGGGCTCGGCCAGGAAATGAGATTGAAGTAAGTGATTGCTGGCGTTAGGAGAACCAACAGGCAAACACTCAATCGAATGGCTGCTTGCAAGCCACGAAGGAAATCCACGTGCGCCGGCGTGTGGTAGCTGCATATGACACCCAAGACACCGTCTGGAGTGTGCCTGTGCCACATCTCCTGTCTTTGGTCTGCGGCAAGTTTGTGAGTTCCGGGTTGGATTGGCACGTTTGCATTAGATGCTGAACTTGTGAACCCCGGCTTGTCACACATTTGGCATCGAGCTTCCAAAAGAGTTGAGCAGTTCAATGCGACCGTCTGCAACCATGTTCCTTGCAACGAATGAACACAAGGGATTGGCTCATGTTGAGTTTCTGGATCCGGGGTTGAGCTGCGGCAACGATAAACAACGCAGCTGCGGTGTCTCTGTCAAGCGCCTCACAATATGAAGATAAGTAATGCGCTTGCCGACTGCGACGCTTTCTTCAAGCTCATTGAGTTTACAAGCTGAACCGGTTTCTATGGAAAGTCCCTCCGTAGCCATTTTGGCTCAAGCGGCTGTCGCACGCACTAGAAAGTGCCACCCCGTGACACACTGCGACCTTCAAGGTCGCTCCGTGACTCTCCGTGACCATGGCCTTGGCGTGGGCCAACGCGGGAGGTGGCTTCATGGGCGGCCCCGCTGCGCATGCACCCATCGCGGTGGTCGCGACTTTCGGGACTTTGCTGCGATGGCCGCTGAGCCGGCGGGATCGATCTTCGCGACGAGCTTGCGTGCCCATGATGCCCAGAGGCCGCGCAACGGGGTCATCGCGAACGTGCGCCCCATGATTGACTCCGAGGGCATCGCGGAGGCGTGGCACTTCCTCGTGCCGTGCCCGTTGGCGCGAATGCCGCGGGACGGAGCGTGACGCAGTGGTTCCGCGGGAGTGCGGCCAAGCAGCACAGGAAGCTCACGGCAGCGGGAATCGCGAATGCCGCGCAGACCGCGGCGGTCTTGGCCTTCTCAATAACCGTGATGGCGCGCATGCTCGAGATAGGCACCGCGGACCTGATCCCCGAGCAGACAGCGCCGTGGACCCCCGCTGCCAACGGGTACGACACGGTCGAGGTCCCGAATGCCGCCGTGATCGCGCGTTGGGACGGCTGCGTGATTCCTTAAAGGGCCATGTCTGCGAGGCTCATCGACTGGACTGATTTTGGTATTTTCTGTTTTTTTTTCTGCTTTCTTGTCTCCTTGCTTGCTTCCTTTCCTGGACGAAGGTCAGGTCGGCGGGGGCAGGCCCGTCAGGGCTGGCGGTCTCTGACTGCCCCTGTTTCTCTTTTTTCCCCCATCTCTTCTCCTCCTTTTCTCTTCCTTTTTGTTTTTTGCTTTCCTGTTTCTTTGTTTATGCTTCCTGCTTCCTTGCCGGGACTAAGGTGCGGCCGAAGGGGGCAGGCTGTTTTTGCCTGCCCTGTGACGTTTTGTTTTTTCTTTTCCCTCTCTTCCTCTTCCTTTCTTTTCGTTTTCTCTTTCTTTCTTGCCTCCTTTCTCGGACTAAGGTGCGGCCGACGGGGACAGGCCCGCCAGGGCTTTGGCCTTGCCCGCCCCTGCCTTTCTGTTCTTTCCTTTTCCTTTTCCTTTTTCCTCCCTGTTGTTTGTTTCTTTTTCTGCCCCGTTCCCTTGCTCAGGCGCGGACTGAGGTGCTTTCTGACGGGGCGAGCACGCCTTTTCTTTCATTTTTGCCGTCTCCGCCAACGTCAGTTGTCAGTGACCTCTTTCCAGCTGGAGCGTCCGCCTCTTGTCGCGTGTGTTGTTGTTGCTGTGGGATGGCCATGACGCTTGCGGAGCCATCTCCCTGGCCTGAACTCCAATGGGTAAACTGCTGCGAGGGATGCTGCCAGGTGTTTGGCTTTGGCGTTGTTTCGCGCCAACGGCCGTGTCTGTCTGTCTGTTTGTCTCTCTACGGAAAGTCCTTGATTGGGTTGTGTCGGCATCTCGTCACGGTCTGCTGAGACCCGGCGCTTGCTTGCGTGCCGAGCGAATACGATATGCGTCGAGGCAAAAGCCAATGGTTGCCCTTTGGTTTCCTTTAGACCGACCCCAAAAAGGGTAGCATCAAAAAAGACAGACCCATATGGGTCTGTATTTATGGGGGGACCAAAAGGACAACCACTGCCCCAAAAAAGACGGCCCTCTATATTTTTTCCGTCGTTCCAACCAACAAAGTACGAGGTGAAGAAGGAAGGACACAGCAAGGAGCTTGAAACCATGACGGAGACAAAGACAAATTTTGCGGCAACGACACCTCAGCGCCACGACTTGACAAATTCTCGCTCCAGGCACCCGCTGGCCCTGCAGATGCCTCAGTGCAGTTCGGCCAGGCGAGGGCGCTAACGGCAGGTTTGGTATGAATTGCTTTGGTTCAGCTTCATGTGGGTGTGGGTTAAAACCAATGGTATCCCATTTTGGGGGCAGGTGCACCACCCATTTTAGAACCTATTTTAGTGGGGATTGGGATGTTCACTGGGGGTACGGGGTTTTGACCCATGGCCATATGAGGCAGATGAGCCACAATCAAAAACCCGGGTAGATTGAGGTTAGTGAGGGAGAATCTGCCTTCGCCGCCTTTTTAATTCTTTAAGCATGGTTCTGAGCAGGCCATTTTGATACCAGGTTTTGATTTCTACTCAGATGTACTTGGCCAGTCCAACCTCGCTGCTGAGCGATTCATCAGTTGCAAGCCCCGATGTCAGGTGGGCGAGCTGAATTCCGCCGAGCACCTGGACAAGCTTCTGGCGCGGTCCCAGCAGGAGCCCGCCTATGCAAGCTGATTGGCGATTAAAGCGAGCCGAAACCATGTCACCATTCGCTGTTGCTCAGCAGGGAATGAGGGAATGAACCTGGGCATTCCCAGATAAAGGAAACCAAATGGGGGATAGTTCTTGTTTTGGTCATTCCGTTTCTCATTCCCTGCATCTCTCGCACCGATCGCACATTTCTTAGTTTGTTCCGCGCCATATGGGCAAGAATGTGTGGTTCATGGGCTCTTCACGGGAGACACGCAAAACCGGGCACCAGAGGCCTCCTCCCAACACATCCCATTGATGTGCAACATAAACGGCCCAAAGTATGGCTGGGCCTTCCAGATCAGAGCCCACGCCACGGGTGAACGCCAACCTTGGCTTCGAGCATGTTGAGCCACCTTTTGCCAGACCTGAAATGAATCATGGCTTGGATGAGAGCCTCAGGACTCACACGGTGGATCTCGGTGGCGATATTGCCAAGAAAGGATGTGCTGTCCAAGAACCGGAGGGCTCATCTCTGAGAGGACAAACAACATGACCGTGGAGGATTCAGAAAGGCTTGAGAAGAAACAAGCCCGACACAACACCTATCGGACAGCGAGCTTAGAACTCAAGGCTGTTGGTACGAGCTGCTTCTAGGGGCAGTTGCATGGTCCAGGTTCGGTGTGCTCAAAGTTTATTTGTCAGAATGACGCGAAAGCATGCTAGCTACGAACAAAGCTCGCCTGGAACCCAGTTGAGTGGCGTTTTTTCCCGCTCAAGCAAACATGTCGCGGAAGGTTGCGGAAGGTGTCATTACATTTGCTTTTTGCAGAATTGCTAGCAAATCGTGCACACGAATTCCCTCGCGTACGCTATCTTCCTCAATTTCCCGAACAACTTGCATGCAGAAGCACTTACATAGAAACATGATCGCGGAAGGTACCTCTCACACTGCGGAAGCTTTCCGCAAGGCTTCGCGGAAGGGACCCATGCGTCCGTTCGAAACCATGCAGAAAAGGAATGTATCCAGAGCTCTTTGGGTCATAGGAGTTTCGCTACAAGCTTCCCGTTCGACTTGCAAGCCGTTTGTATACCCCCAAGTCAGATAACGCGCTCAAGCTATTTCAATCACTGATGGCTTCGCAGTTCTCGCCACACACATCTCCTTGCTAAGCGAGGAACGCCTTTCACGTGCCAAGGGTTCGGCTCCAGGTGCGCACTCACAGCTTTTGTCCCCGAAAGCACGTTTTGAAATCAGCCAGCCTTTCCGGCAATGGCTTGGCCCAGAAAGCAGGTCTGAAGAGCAGGAGAGTGTCATCGATTGAGGTATCGGGGAGTGACATCATGACATAATTATCGCCAGACATTTATGGCTGCACCTGGGATATCCCAGGGTCTGTCTGGGCCTCCGTTGCGTGCACGTCAAGAACAGTTGACCCGCCAAAATTGCGTGGTTTCCTCTCGGGCCAAGAACGTAGGCATAGGGCTGTGGCTCAAACTCAAAAGAAGAGCTATTCGCAGGGTTCTGGTCTTTGTTTCCACATTACCTAGGTGCATTTTTTTGTTGGCCACTTCGCCAGCGGAAGTGACTGACTCCACCTGGGATTTTTTCCCGAGTTTCAGACAAGGCCGGGAGACGTCGCTCCGAGCGCCACGCGCGCGTTGTCGCGGAAAATGTTCGGCGGGAGACGTCGGCGGAAGGAGTCCTTCTGCGTGGTGCTGGACTTCACGGCGCCCTGGTGCAAGCCGTGCCAGGCCATCAAGCCCCGGTACCAGGCCGACGGGTCGTGGAGGGGGTGGGAGGGGAAGGGGCGAGGCGGGCGAGGCCAAATGGCTGTGGTGGTCAAAACCAATGGTACCATGGTGCACCCATCTTAGAATCTACTTTAGTGGGGATGGGGATGTTCCCTGGGGGTACGATTTGGATTTTGACCCATGGCCCAATAGGTGCGTGTGTCGTGTTTTTGCAGGTTGGATCCCAAGCCAAAAGCAGGTTTTCGTCTTGGGGTTCCCAACCCAAAGGCAGCCAAAGAGTGGCGCCTGTGGCCCTCGAATGAGAAGTGTCTCAGGCAGATGAAGTGTTCCGGCCCCATTTCCGGCAAGCAGCTGGGTCCAGAATCGGTGCTCATACCTCGGTGCAATAGCAGTTGCTTGTTTTTACCGCCACATTGAATAGATTAAAGTCATCAAAGAACGCACTATGGCGCACACAAACAAGACTATCCACTGGAATGATTTCTCTGCCTCGGTAGAAATGTCACACAAATTCAAAAACTCCTCGTCTTGACGAAAATGCAACTGCTGAATGATGTCCATGTCGTTTTGGGCCAGCACTCGCAACGGGTAGACCATGGCAACATGCCGGCCACTTCGCATACTCTGCATTGGTGTTGGTGGCTGCACGCGGATCTTCTGTTTCTATCTCCATTTTCGATCGTTCGTTTGAAGGCCTCCAGTCAGGAAGCTTACTTCGCATACTCTGCATTGGTGTTGGTGGCTGCACGCGGATCTTCTGTTTCTATCTCCATTTTCGATCGTTCGTTTGAAGGCCTCCAGTCAGGGAAGCTTACTTCGCATACTCTGCATTGGTTTTGGTGGCTGCACGCGGATCTTCTGTTTCTATCTCCATTTTCGATCGTTCGTTTGAAGGCCTCCAGTCAGGGAAGCTTACTTCGCATACTCTGCATTGGTTTTGGTGGCTGCACGCGGATCTTCTGTTTCTATCTCCATTTTCGCTCGTTCGTTTGAAGGCCTCCAGTCAGGAAGCTTACTTCGCATACTCTGCATTGGTTTTGGTGGCTGCACGCGGATCTTCTGCACTTCCATTTTCGATCGTTCGTTTGAAGGCCTCCAGTCGGGAAGCTTGGTGTGCAGCCTGTTTCGGGTCTGACTCTTGCATTGTCAAGCCCTTTGGACCTCAGATTCTGGGGGTCCATGTCCACGTCGGGGGTTCCCTAAAACTCCTAGCCCTTCGGGTCCGGATCAGACAGTTCAGGCGCTGGCCGGTGAGTACCAGAGCCACTGCTTCATGCAGGCCACTTCGGAAAGCTGGTTGATCAGTTTTTTGGTTCGGCCCATGCCCATGTATGTTTTTTGCCCCATTTTTTTTGGTGAACGGCATCCTTTTTGGTGGTTTCCCGAATGGTCACGCCATGCAAAGGACATTTTGGATCAACCCCCACATATTGGCAGTGGTGTAATTTTTGTCCTAGCACTGCACGGGCCGGTTGATGAATTGTTTCGTGACTCTGCTTGGCGCTTTTGCCAGTTCTTTTGCATGTTCCGCTGGGCTTGTCTTCATTGCGAGCTAAGAGAGCCCTTTGCACATCAAGTCCTGGGCCACAGGACTGGTTGACATGTTGCATGGCACAAGGAAGCGACAGCCGCTAGGTGAATGCTGACGATCTGGACGATGTCAGTGCGCGCTGCGCAGCCATTGCCCAAGCGAGGGGTCCCGTGTCTTCAGGAAGTCTGAGACTGGCAAGGTTTTCAGGGCTGGCCCGCCTTCCTTATCCTTTGTACTTAAATTATAAACGCGACAGTTGATGGGTACTGGAAGGGCACGGATGGCAAAGTGTCAAATGCCACAGCATGACAGTAGCCAGTGGCAATGTATATTGCAGCGTGGCTCGCCGAGGGCATTTGCCGCTTGGGTGCGTGTTTTTCTGAAGTTGCCCCCCTTTTTTTTAGGTTGGTTGGAAAACCACCATTTTGGCGGGTCCCCCCAAACAGTGGGCACATCCACTTGAAACAATTGCTTTGTGCTATTTTTTTTGGTTGCTTTCTGTGGTTGGCTTGGACCTTGAGTGTCATGCAGTTGGTCCGTCGGGTGAGTTCTGAGGGTCGCACCACTGGCGTTCGCCCAAGCTGGTTGATGCTTGAACTGCTGTAAAAAATCCGCTGGTCGCTGAGGACTTCAGCTCGAAAAAGAAAAGCCGTGTCCCGTTTTGGTCCATGGGGCATGTAGGCCGCTCTCAGACCTGATCTGGCGCCCGAGAAACCGGAGGTCATGGGCTTGCCGTGCTTCCAGATCTACCAGGGCTCCAAGCTAGTAGCCTCCACCACAGGCGCGGCTTTTTTGGGGACGAGGGCTTGAGGTAGGGCTGGCGGGTGAGGCTAGGGTGAATCGTGTGCGAATGTTGGCCATGAGTTCCCAAGCCAATGAAAGGTGAACAGTTTGAGTCTGGGGAAATGAACTAATTTTGTCAGGCTCATAACAAGAGTCAGCAGAGCATGTCTGGGAGCGTGTTTTGTGGACTGCCAGTTTTCGAAATTGGACAGTCGCTGCTTGCTTCGTTACTTGCCGACTTGCCGACTTGCCGACTTGCCTCTAGTCAACTGCGCCTAAAAGGGACGAGCCCATGGAGCCTTGCGAACTCAAGGTGAAGCGTTTGAAGAGCTTGAAGAACCAACAGCGCCATCTGCTTTCAGAAAGATCACAGGGCCATTCTTTCTGGCTGGTTGGTTGCAGATTGGTTAGTCACCGTTGTGCTTTGAAGTCGAGCATCTTGGATTGGTAATTTCAGATCCTTAACTTGGGAGCATGTGACCCGCTTACACTTAGTGTGCCTTGTCAACAGTCTAAGCCTGCAGAATCCTTTTGGCTTTAGCACACCGGGCGAGGGTTCTTGGAGACCAGTGCCGCAACAAATGATCACATGTTCCGCTTTCCATCAATCTTAGGGTTTCATCCACCCCCTCTGGTGCCTTGCCAAGTGTTGCTAACGGCCTTACTGCGTGGTTCTCCTCCGCTTGTTGCAACGGGCAGAGGTGGTGACGAGTCGAACCTGGTGAAGTTCTTAGGTGCGGGTGCACGGAGAGCTTGGATGGACACGCACGGCAAATTCTCCTCCGATCGCCCAGTGATTACTCAGGTCAGAATCAGTAAGACATACCCAACCACAGGTCTTCTTTTTAGACTAGTTTGGTCCACTGGTTTAGATTGGGTTTTATGCCCCATGTACCAGGCAAACCCATCTCTTTTTTCGAAAGGGCCACTTGTGTACCCAACGCTTCATGGCCAGAGAAAACGGCAGAGTGACACGCATGGGTCCGGTTGTTGGGCCTTGAAGGGGCAGATCTTGGCCATGAGCAATTTGTATTTTCGTTTTGGCCGTCGTTGGTGCTTTAGTTCGCCTTTTGCCATGTCTACATAGTATGGGCAGAACACACACATATATTGCATATATATATATACACATGCATTGATACATTACGGTACTCTTGACATTTACACACATTAAGATTTTGCACATCATAATTTCAGCAGCCACCCTCCTCACTTCCATGATTGCGGGGAAAAAGTTACGTTTACGTTTTCATTCCCTTACATTACCCTATTTTATCTAACATTACCTTACATTACGTTGCATTCCCTTACCTTACCTTACATCGCAATCGCACGCACATTGCTAGCTCGTCGTGAAGGGAAAGCAAGCATTAGAAGCTTTTCTCAAGTGCGTTGTTTCCATTTTGCTTGGGCCCTTTCGACAAAGACTTTTCGAGCAGACAGTGGCTGCAACAGTTTCGTTTCTCTAACAGCTATGCCTTTTCCCGGTACACTTCCCTGGTGAGCCACCGACAAACGCCTTTCCACTTTCACACGGTACGGTTTGTGAGTCAGGAATGACAGGAACACTCACAGCATGAGCATTCCACCTATTCTTGTCCAATGTGACGTGTTAAGCACCAGTTTTACCACAGCTCACATGTCATGCGAAACAAGAAGGTTCCTATTTGGGTATAGGTCAAGATTAAACCACCAGAACACCCACAGGTTTTGGTCCACGTTTCCACTTGCCAGGGTTCCATTTGGGGTACCTATTTTTGACCCACGGCCATTTGGGGATGCGACATCCCCTGCTGCCCAAGGCGATAACTTGGGCAAGAAGGCACAGTGATCGGCCTTGGAAGGAACTGCTTCCGATGATTCGATGGCTGGCTTCGGCTTCATATTCTCAGAGACTTACTGTGCATGGACGAAATCCATTTCGCACCACCTAAGAAACCCTGATTTCTGATGATTCCCCTGCAAATGCCAACGAACAGTGGTATCCTATGGTTTCAAAGTTTTGCGGAATGGATTTGGTCCATCCACAGTAGCAAGCACATGTTTTTTTCGGGAAGTGAAGCCTGAAGCCTTTGTGAAAGGGGCTGAGTGAGCTCTTGGTCTCCTCAGCAAGTATGTGTCACCGACTCATTGAACAACGTGCCGCTTGGTGAGGCAGATTAAAGCAACAGGTGTGAGTGGCAAGTGTCAAATCTGAAAAATCCGAAGCCTCACCAGGGTGGAGGGTGCCGCTGTCCGAATATTGACATGCAGCTTACGATGAGTTGCTCCCTCGCGGCATGGACAGAAGCTTGCACTTCAATGGGACGGAAGCCTGCACTTCAATTGAGTTTCACCAAGAGCACAGTTCTACAAATCGCGATTGCACGCATCGGAACAAGATCGCAGGTTCGTTGGATTGCATTTGCCTGCTTCAAGCTTGGAACATCGACCAAGACAAGCGGGTCTGGAACCAAGACGGACACCTGCATACATCCCCTCCCAACAAAAAGCCTCAGCGTACCAAAACACAGGGCCTCCTTTTCTGGACCTCTTTAAGCGTGATGTCCAACGCATCCCAAAACAGTCTCTTCTGCATTGCAACAGTCTTCCAAGCCATCCCATACACCCGTGCCACCCGTCACTCGGCCGAGAGGCATCTGGACCTGTGCGGTCGACTCAGTCCTGCGAGTTTTCACAACGAATGCGATCCACAGGATCGCCGGACTTGACCTGACAGCCCCATACCAAACTCCCCCCAGTCCTCAACCACAGTGCGGCTTCTCAAGCGTGTAAAGACCCGCGGACAGGCAGAAAAGGCCGGGGGTTGTGGCTTGGCGGTTTGGTCTCAGGGTCTGTGTCCTGGCCCTTGTGTTTTGCTTGTCGAAGGGCAAAGCAGTGAGCATGTGAAAACCAACAGGAACATATTCAGCAAGCAAACGAAGGTATTTAGCGCCCTACGGGCTGTCACCAAATAGCCCGGGATGTGTTTGATGCCATGATTCAAGCCTGCATCGGATGTGCTTTCCTTCCATTGGCTTAAGTCGACTGGGAAAAATAGAAATGCTTCCAGTATAGTGAGAGACAACTTCAGCAAAATGAAAGTTTGAGATGGCGCAGCATGTGTCAGAGTCAACACTTCCAAAGCCAGCTCTCCACAAGCTGATGCCCGGCATAAAGAAGGCAGGCCTGCTTTGATACTCCCTTCTGCCGGTGAGCAACCCCTCCAGGGGGAACACACGGAAATGTGGAACCGGTGTAACGATGTAATTCTTCAGACTTGAATTGTAGCGTGCATATTTGGCGAGCTGTGCGCAATCCTTTCAGTTGATCACGTGCATTTTTAAAAGCCAAACAAAATGTGAAGGGATTCGGCGTGGTCAGCAGATTTGCGGCCTTGGAAGGTCCATGAAATCCAGTTCAGGGAGGTGCAAAGCAACTTGCATTGTTTTTTTTGCGGGGACATGTCAAGACTCAGTTGGTCACGCCCCAAGCCGGATTCGTCCGTGGCCTGACCGGTGATCTTGGCGGCTCTTGGAGCCTGTCGCTGGGTCGTGGATTGGCCGGCGTGTAAGCATGGTTTGAACCACCGCAACCGTGTTTTTGGAATTGTATCACCGCCCGTACAGCCAAGCGCGTGCATATAGCTATATAGCTTTGCAACTATGTTGAAGCATAAGAGCCACCACACACACACACAAGCACTGTGTGAAGAAGGGTAAGTAGTCTCTCACTCTCTCAACACCAAGCCAGTGGTTAGACGGTTAGACGTGGCTGGTAAACGGGCGTTTATACAATTTGGTTGTGCTAAGGGAAGTGCATGGAGAGTTGCACATGGATCTTGTGTCCACATGATGAAGGCGCCTCACCTCCCTTGAGACGCGGCTTCTTGCCAGTGCATTGCATGCCAACGTTGGGCAGTTCAGTGACTTAGAAGCCCTTTGTGCTGGTTTCTGCGCATGCCAACATAAGTGGGACCAAAATGCGTCCTTTGACAATAGCGGGTTTTATCTTTAAAATAAGCTTGGAGGGAGCCTGTACCAACCTTTCCGCACAGACTCTCCACTGGGTTGCAACCCTAAATGGCCATGCACCATATGGGCTGCCACCAGTCCATGCCACCTTTGCAGCTTTTCATTAAACACAATGCTTGGTGGGTTGAAGTGCAGCTAGCAGTCGAGGTGGCTCGACTCAAAGTTGACCATTCCTTTTTCTTGGGATATATGTTGCTAGAGTTGCCTTGCTGCAGCTGTACGGCTCATGCGTTTTTCAGGGCCACGCAATACAGGAAAGACGAGGGGCACCCAAGAGGGAGAAATCGAATGGCCTCAATGCTCAAGAGCAGTCTCTTCACAGAATCAGAAGGTATGAAAAAGGCTAAAGGAGCCCTGAGAAAGGATAACCAAATGGCAAAGATCCGAACATCACCTGCGAAGTTTTGACATCCAGCGGGCGTGGCGCTCATAGTTCGAACATGTCCGCCAAGGCCGGGCTACGTGGGTTTTGGTCCAGGTCTCACTCTGGTAGCGGTTTTGTGAGCAGCCTATCCTGTCGGAATGCGCCTCCTGGGACTTCTCTTTGGCAAAAATACAAGGCTCATGCTCCAGTGGAACACATATCGCACATACATACATACATACATACAAACATGCATGCATGCATGCATGCATACATACATGCATGCATGCATGCATGCATGCATGCATGCATGCATGCATGCATGCAAGCAAGCAAGCAAGCAAGCAAGCATACATACATACATACATACATACATGCATGCATGCATGCATGCATGCATGCATGCATGCATACATGCATACATACATACATACATGCATGCATGCATGCATGCATGCATACACACATGTACACATATAGAACCGTACATATATATATATATATGCTCCCCCCCCCCAGGTACCCAGGTTTGGGCTTGGTTCAGATGTGCTTTGACCGCGGAAGCAGGCAGGAAGAACAGCTCAGATTTGCACACTGGGAGACCAGAGGAAGGAGGTTTGCCCCATTGAAGAAGACGCCTTGGACGTGACGCATGCCCTTTTTTCAATGGCTCTTCCACACAAAATTCAATTCACATATCTTCCCACACAAACCATGCCTTCTTTCAAAGGCTCTTCCACAAATAGTTCACATATCTTCCCACACAACCATGCCTTGTTTCAAAGGCTCTTCCACAGAAAATTCACACATCCTCTCACCCAACACATGTCTTTTTACATGTCTTCTCTCAATGAAACAAAGGCAGCATATGTGAAAGAGTTGCCAAGGAAAGTGAACCCTGTGTAGAATAAAACCAGGCTATGGCTGGGACAGTTTGTGTTACATAAATGGTGGCTTTACATTATATTTACTGTCTTTCGCTGTACTTTTATGAATCACTGTAACCCTGACTCTTCCACAAAGACTCACATATCATCTCTCACACAAAACATGTCTTTTCAATAACTCTTCTCTACAGAAAATTCACATATCCTCTCACCCAGAACATGTCTTCTTTCACAAAGGTTCACATATCCTCTCATCATGCTCCGCAAATGTTGCGCAACATTTGGAATTTGTTGCGCAACATTTCCCTGGACCAAAAACCCACAAAACCAAAACCAAAAAACCAAAAAACCAAAAAACCAAAAAACCAAAGAATCCCAGCCATGGTGGGGGTTAGGATTGGTTTTTCGGTTTTTTGTTTTTTTTTTGGTTTTTTGGTTTTTGGGTTTTTTGGATTTTGTAGTTCAATCAAAATACACTGTAAGTATCAATGGTTTTCATACATGATGCAACAACACCTGGGTACTGGGGGGGTACCATATATATATATACATAGACGTATGTGCGTGCGCGCAACCCTGACGATCGGAAGGGGGTTTGATGTATGTCTCATGGACGTAATGCGGACAGCCATTCTGCTGAGCGTACCAGCACCATTGGAAGAGACACCATTACTCTGGCATTGGCGCCACCTTCTGCGGCTTGCGCAATTGTCCATTGTTTTTCTGCTGAACTCCTTAAGTGTCCAAGCAGGTTCGTGGCCTAAGTCAGCGACACGTCTCCGAAGTGGCCGGGCACAAAGTCAGTTCGCCCACATCAGCGTGCGCAAGTGCGTGCGCGCCTGTTTGTCGCGCAGGTGCGCTTGCGTGCGTGCGTGCGTGCGCCAAGAAAACCCAGGATGCATGCCCAAGTGCGCCCTCGTTGAGATGTTTGGCCACGGGAGGGCTGCTATGATTTGCGATTGAATAGCCATTCATCATCCTTTGGACTTGGACAAACGTTGCATGAGAACTACATTCGTTCAAAGAGGACATGGCTTCGTGGCAGAAGGCTCTTTGGCTTGTGAATGTGCGGTTGCAACGCATCCCTCACTGTTGGATATGCATTCCAATGGACCCTGTTTAATCCCACAAACATCCATCAGCACAACCGGGAAGCGTAGATTTCTGGCAAAGGTGCGACAGACTGCTGTATCAGAGCATTCTGAGAGCGGGGACAAACGGATACATACGAGTCTTTTTTTAAATTAGGGGCCCCCAAAAAACGGTGGTTTTCCTTTCGGTTTTCCTTGAAAGTCACAAGACGCAGGGGTACCCTCGAGAAAAGATAGACCCATATGGCTGTGGGTCAAAAACAAGTACCCAAAATGGAACCCTGGTAAGTGGCAACATGGACCAAAACCTGCGGCCCCCTGGAGGACAAGGAGTTCAAGGCTCACCCATTCCTCTTCGAGGACTCGTTCCAGGCCGTGGTTTTGTAGGGTGCCTTTGCGCTGTTGTTACAACAAACCTGCGCTGGATGTCCCCTAGAAATACCATTGCAATGCTGAGACTCTGAATACGTCTAGTTTTTGTGATCCATCCAACCTGGAGATAACACCCAGACACTTCTAAGAGCCGCTGGAATCCCTAAGAGAGACGTTTTAGATTGCAATGCAACTTTTTGCATGGAGAAGAGAGGCACACGCAGGAGCGCGTCGTTGGGTCGTACACCTGCCAAATGTTGGCGGGTTCAACCGACGTTCCATTTTTGAGTTAAGTCGGCCAGTAGAATTGAGAATTTGCGCACAATCAGCAAGTTGCTTCTCTTTGGTAGAGCACGCACGACAGGACCTGTCTTGAACATTCTGGACACATGTTGCTTTAAAAGTTATGTCCAAACAAACATGACTGACATCTCGGATGCTGCTGGTGCTGGAGTTCGCGCCATTGGCAGGTCAAGAGCCGGGGCCCAAGGCCAAAGTGTGGTCGACTTTCTGTCAGCTCCGCGCTTGGCATGCGCAGAAAATCTTTATGGTTGAGATGAGGTCTATGGAAACCAGTCACACGTGACTGTATCGCAAACTGTGCCATTCTGTTGTCTATATATATATATATATATATATATGGTACCCCCCCCCCAAAGATCGACCATTTTCTGTGTTTTATCTCTGGTGACACATCCCAGAATCTGCAAGGTCTCGGGCTTCTAGCTTCCCAACTTCATCTTGCATCTGCCTTTTGGCTGCACAGGATGAACATGTTGAAAAAACCCGAAGAAATCAAAAACATTAAAACAATCAGGGTCCTGGGAGAGAATGCCCAGGTCAGAATCTCGGAAAGTGAATAGACCTCGAAGAAATCAAAAAAATCAAATAAATCAAGGTCCTGGAACAGAATGCCCAGACCCAGTGACTATCTCTCTCAAGGCCTTGATTTGTTTGTTTTTTTGATTTTTTGATTTTCTCGAGGTTTTTCACTTTTCCAGGTCAGAATCTCGGAAAGTGAATAAACCTCGAAGAAATCAAAAAAAATCAAAAAATCAAAAAATCAAGGTCCTGGAACAGAATGCCCAGACCCAGTGACTATCTCTCTCAAGGCCTTGATTTTTTTGATTTTTTTGATTTTCTCGAGGTTTTTCACTTTTCCAGATTCTGACCTGGGCATTCTCTCCCAGGACCCTGATTTTTTCGTTTTTATTTTTTATTTTTTGATTTTTTTGATTTCTTCGAGGTTTTTGTAGCTTCATGGGTTTCTTGCCCTTCGCCCCTGAGCATCTTCCTTGCAGTGTTGGAGCTTTGGCGTACAGAGCTGCAGTTTTGCAGCCCTGCCAAGTCTGTATTGCAACCAAGGCCTGCAGTATTGGAGCTCTTGTTGGAAATGCTTTGCTTGCCTGTAGTTTGGCAGCCTTGCCAGGGCAGCAGGGAAGCCTTCAGTGTTGAAACTTTGGCAGGTGAGGCGCTCAAGTCTTGCAGTGGCCTTAGTGTTCAACTCTTGCCAAGTGGGTTGCAGTTTTGAGCTGGAACCCAGTTTGGCAGCTTGCTTGGGCAGTGTGCTGGAAGTGCCAGTTTGGTGGTGGAAGTCTTGTAGCAGGTAGCAAGAACCCTTGCCAGGGTATTGAAACTTGGCAGGTTGGCAGGTTGCAGTTTTTTGCAGCCTTGCCCTGCAGATTGGCAGCCTTGTTGGAAATTGTGGAACAGCAACCAAGTTTCAAGCCTTCCTTGCAGTGTGGGAGCTTTGGCAGACAGAGCTCCCAAGTTTGTTTTGCAAACAGGCCTGTGTTGGAACTTCTGTTTGAACTCGCTTGTCTGTAGTTCAGTGTTGGTGCAGTTGGTTGCAGATTGGATTGGCAATTTTGCAACCTCCAGGTCTGTAGTTTGGCAGCCTTGCTTGGGAAGTCTTGCAGTGTTGAGTTAGCAAGAGGTTGTAGTTTGCAACCTTGCTCTGCAGTTTAGCATACTGCTTGGCAGGCTTGAAAAGCCTTGCAGTTGGGTGTGCCTGCAGTGTTGGAGCCTTGCAGTTTGGATTTTGCAGCCTTATTTGTAGTTTGGCAGACCTTGCAGCAAGTGGGAAGCCTGCAGTGTTGAAACTTTGGCAGGTTGGCGAGGTTGGCAAGGGCTGTAGTTTTGCAACCCTGCAGTGTTGGAGCCCTTGCAGGTTGGCAATTTTGCAACCTTGCCAGGTCTGTAGTTTGGCACCTTTGCTTGGGCAGTGCTTTGGCAGGTTCGTAGGGGTTGCAGTTTTGCAAAGCCTTGCAGTGTTGGAGCTGAAGCCCTGCCAAGTCTGTTTTGCAACCAAGGCCTGCAGTGCCTGCAGTTTAGCAGACTTGCTTTGCCAGGTCTGTAGTTTGGCAGCTTTGCTTGGGCAGTGTCTTGGAAACTCTTGAAGTTTTGAAACTTCAGGTTGCCAGGGGCTGCAGTTTTGCAAAGCCTTGCAGTGTTGCAGCCCTGGCAGGTGCGCAATTTTGCAACCGTCCTCAACAACACTGCACTTGAATGTCGACCCCAGCATATGCGCATCTGTTTCTTGCAAAAATGCACCGCATCTTTCTCAAAGCACAGAAAATGGTCGATCTTTGGGGGGGGGATAGCATATATATATATATATGTATATCTCCACATTCCTTAGATGTGAATGTGCTTCCTTTGTAGTGCGGAGTTTGTCACGGATGGAAGCCCATATCTCATGGATTTAGGAATCTCCGGCACAATCTAAACAAGGCTCAATTGATTCCCCATTGCAAGACAGGATAGTTCTTTTGATCGAGGAGCCCGAGAAAACAATTCCGCTGAAGATTGCCCAAGGGCCGAACTTCTCACATGTTCTGAGCATTTTCAGGACTCCAGCTTTGCCCCAGCGGACATGATGGCCACTTGATGCAACAAGGTTGCTGGAACTGCAACCAATCTGAGATCCAATGGTTGCGATGGATCTTCGAATGTCTGTCCCCAAACGGGTTCTGTTTCAACCACACGCCCTTCTGAGACCGCTCTCTGATTCTCCGGTGGTTTCCCCTGCTCCGACCTTCCCACGTTACGTTTGGGTACGCAGAAGCATCAGATCCTTGCAGCCTGGTTTGCCTCTTTTTTTCGGGGGCTATGGCAGGTGCAACCCATCATTCGCAAAAAAATCAAAAACATCGCAGTCACTTATCCTCCTACCCGTTCGCCCAAATCGATGGTGAGCTTCTCCCAATCGCCCCACTCGACCCCCAGCGACTCGCGACTCGCTCGGAGCCGCCGCTAGCCGTGGACAACAGCCGCTTCGAGCGCGCGGGGCGCATGGACTGCGAGTCCGTGAGCTTCGCCCACAACAACTTGGAGATCGCCCCTCGAGCTGGGCGGTTGGCTCGCGGAGGGCTGGCGGCTTGAGGGCGTGCGGAGGGCTTTTGAGGGCTTTTGAGGTGGCGTTGGACATGAAGGGCCATGGGAAATCCTCAAGTTTGGAAGTGGAAGTTTTCAGGGAATAACTTTGGAGGGAAGCAGGGCCAAAGTCAGTGTTGCCTCAGCGGCTTGATTGGCAATGCCGCGCGATTTTGTTTTGGGCAGCCCTGGGTCTCAGTCTGCACAAGGAACTCAGGATGGCAGCCGCTGAGGATGTTGATCTTGTCTAGGATCTTGCGGGGATGTGCCTCCGCCAATGCAGTTGCATGGAGGGAAAGAGTGTGTGACAGATTCCGAGAGGATCCACACATGTGCCACGAGTCAAAACATGCGACGAGTTGATAGGCATGGTTGTCCGCCTATTTTGCATGAGACAACCATTTTCCATTCGGCGAACCATGATCATGACCAAGAAGGTTTGTGAAATGCCAAGCCCTCTAAATGGTGGATGCACTTAGATTTTTGTTGGCCAGATCAAAAGGTTCAATTATCCAGGTTGAGTGGAGTTTGGCGGTGTGAAGGGCCCGACGATTCCAACGAATCGACTATTCTAAGCGATGCAGTTGACAAATCCAAAGCTATTTGTGGCTTTCTCACAACAGCCGCTCAGGCGTCCTCGAATTGGTGGTATGGTTGGTGGTTTGGGGATTTTGACCCCCTGGTTGTTGTAGAGGGTAAATGGGAAACCGTCCTTAAACCACCGAACCACCAACCCAAATCACCAATGAGTGGGAAGCTGAAATGCGCCGCTCAAACCAAGAGAAAAGAGAGGGCAAGCCGAACAAGTCTGACTCCGTGTTATCACGCTTTTCATGCGTTGCTCCTTTGTCCTGGAAAACGTATGCATAGCGAGGATATTCAACTACGTAAGTGGATGATATGGTTAAATCGGTGCCTGCAACTTCGCGCCTCAATTTTTCCACAAGTCCATTCCTTTTCATATTTGGTCCCATGGATGCACGGAACGTTCCGTGCGGATCGCCCAAAGGCATGAGCATAGGCTCACAGAATCAACATGACTAAAGCTCTAGAGCACAGTTTGGATTCGCTTTTCGTGAATGTAGGTACTTTTCTACTCCTCTTTTTTCAGATTCTTCTGGTACTCTTTTTATATCCTCCCAAATGGATCCGCGAACGCATGCTTCAGCCATGAGGACATCAACAACATCATCTACCCCGTGACTCCGGGGGAGCAGATCTACGTGGCAATCACCCAGAACGTGAGCCCCGCCGATGATCCTCGGACACTGAAGCCGGGCACCTGGTGGCCCGGTGGGTTGGGTGCGGGGGCAGCTCGGACCGGCAGTGAAAACCCAAATGATGGCTTTTGGCTGGGTTTGCCACAAGCTCGCACGCTCCAGGTCATGTAGGGGGACAAGAATCCTGAAGTTCGGGACGTTACTAGTGTATAAGGAGACTGCAACAGGTTGTGAGCTGTGATTTGATGCCTTGTTGGCTTCTCAACTTGCCACTTTTGGGGAAGTGTCAACTTTCCGTTGAGTTGCTGTCATTCAGAGCCCCGGTGGCAGTGATTGTGTTTGCGCACCGCATTACACTCCATGAGCTTGCCTGTTGCAACTGGTGCATGCCGGCCCAAATGAATGGCCGCCACCGGAGTCCTTTTCAGGTTACAGCCTGCTTGACTTCAATCTTTGTAGACCACGAGCGCGTTTCAACTCGCATGTGGCGAGTCGTCACATGTCGCGACGCTGCAACATGCAGAGCCCAACATGGAGCCCAGAAAGTCGGATGCGGCCCCATCCTGCCGCACACTGGCCACCCGTTTGAAAGGGCACTTCCTCAAAGTAAATTCGGGCTCTCCGACAGCATAAGTCCTACCCCAACTTTCTTGGACATTCTTGTCGGCGCATTCGACCTGGGGAAAAAATCTAGTAGATAACTTATGCTGTGTGTTTTGTACAAGATCCTGCTTTCCGCAAAACAATTTGGGGGTGCCATGCGCACGTTGCGCTCAGCACGGCCTACGACCATGACCCGCGGCTGCTGGGCCGGTCTGTCATGGACCAGTTCGACTACGTGATGTTCGGCAAGGCTGCCGTCGATCTGTGTTGCCTTCATGGGAGGGGCCTGCTGGTTGGTTGGCTGGTTGGCTGGTTGGTTGCTTTGGTTTTTGGGTTGCTATATTTGTCGGATGAACAAAAAATCCAGGGCTCTCCGTGGCATGGCCTCTGGGAAGGGGAATCGGAACGGTTGAACGGTTGCGGCTTGCGCTTCCGCGGCTTGGAAGGTCTACAAGAAGGAGCTGAAGAAGGACGACAACTTGGCGGTGCGCGTGGGTTGAGCGCCGCAGAAAAAAACCAAAAAACAACGGCTCAGGACACAGAAGAGCGTGTCAGGTAGGGAGCTAGTTGGTGGTTTGGACTGGTGAAGTGGGCAAATCTGAGTATGGGTGTGTCCTTTTTTTCCTTTTTTCCAGGAGCCCCCTTTTGGTGGGTTTTAAAATGGAAACCGAAGGAACACTCACCATTTTGGGTCCCCTAAACAGACACACCCACATAGATGCCCAGTGGTGCTTCGTGTGTTAAAACGGCGGCAAACAGGCTTCTTTCTTCCCAGGAGCCATGGGGTGGCCAGTGATAAGACCAGAATAGGCACTGGAGAGCTGCAGGATTTGAAAGCGCACGTCTCCGCGTTCAACCAAACTTATTCCCTTACACACGGCAACTGGGTGTGGGTCAAAAACTGGTGCTCAATCTGGAACCCTGGTGAACGGAAACCACAAAACAAAACTGCGGTCCATTTCCTGGGGGTTGAATTTTGACCCATACCCAACTGAAGGTTCTTTTCAGTCTAGATCCTCAGACCAGGATGAAGTCTTGTCTCGATGTGACACTGCCTGGCCGTCAGCGCATCAGTGCCAAGGATCTAGACCACTGCATCACTTTGTTTGAAACGCATCCCGGTTGGTCAGGGCTCCTGAAAAGATCTCCATTTTGCCCACCCATTTGAGTTACATGTGGCTTTTTTTTTAAACACCAACATAAAGTTGGAAGCTTCACCTGTTCAGGTTTCTTTTTAATGCATCCGGATCCCGGTTGGTGTGCTGGCGGCCAAGCCTCCAGATGGCCTGGGCCAGGTGGTGTGGGCCTCCTATGGAGGTTTGCTGATGAAGTCCGGGGCTTGGGCGCGGTGCTTTGGTGAAATGGGTCGCGGAGATGGTCCGAGGTAGGGGTGCTAGTTTGGATTTGGGTCGCCCTGGAGGGAAGAAGCCTGAAATGGATTGGTGGTCAAAGCCGTTTTGGGATCCCATTTTGGTTGGTAGGTGAATTCACCGCCCATTTTAGGCTTCCTATTTTAGTGGGGTACGGGCTTTTGGATTTTGACCCATGGCCAAATTGGAAGGGTATGCTGAGGGAGCGAGCCTGAATGGAGAAGACGCACATTTGTCTGTCTTTGGAAGACACGAGTCCAAAGCTTTCTCAACCGCAGGCAACAGCCAACACCCCTTCCCGTTTTCGCTAGCCCTGAGCCAAACCAACTCAAGGCCAGCCTCCACCGTCTCCAATTCAGAGCAAAAAACCTAACAGCTCCCTAAAGTCAGCTCACTCCTACAGGAACTTACTTCCTTTATCAGCCCCATGGAAATGGGGGGATAGGGCCGCGGACCCCACCCAAAGACTCCCCAGCCCCCCCCCCCTCCCCCAGTTGCCTCAGACAAGAATTTATGAACCAGACTTGGATTTGTGCGATCTGTGTATAACCTGCAACACAAAATTTGCTTCCCTGTGCTCATCGCATGATCATTGCAGTTCCCTAATTCGATTGAAATGCTTCCTCAGACACATGACAACATTTGATCCTCTTGTGATTTTTGCGGTCCCCCAACCCAATGGCACTCCTCACCAAAAATGAAAGATCATCTTCTGAGCTTTGCCTTCCATTCCAATTACATGTTTACTTATGTTTTTTTGCCTGTGAAGACGTGAAATTAGAGGCACATAGCATCTAATCTTTGGATTCTCCCAACTCAATTCCAGGTTTGTCTCAATAAGGACTTTCGACGCCCAAAATGACTGCACACTGCGTGTGTATATGCATGCATGCATGTATATTACATAGAACTCCAGTTGGATGGAAGTTTGCCATGGACGCACGGTCTTGGCTTCGGTGGTTTCGAGCGATTACTTGAGCGAACCGGGCGCAGAACACCGTGTGTTTCTTCTTTGTTAGCTTCGCCGAGTTTTCGTTTCATGAGTTGTTTTTCCCCTGTTTTATCTTAGCCGAGTTTTTTCCATGATAAGTACAGAAGCCTTGTCTGCTGATTGCGAGCCCCAAAACGGTGAGATCCGGAAGGAGGAGGCCTGAATTGAATTCCAACCCACGAATAAAGGGACGGCCTGTTGCCTGCTCCGAGTGCCAGCTTGCACATGCGTGTCCTGTCATGAACAACACGCGTCAGACATTTTGCGCATGTGCTTTTGCGAGGGCTTGGAGTGTTATTTGCGGCAGGCAGCTGTTGCCAAGTAAAGAGAGCCCCCAACCCCCTGGTGGGAAACCAGCCAGCACCAACAATCCCAAACCAGCAATCCAATCCAGTCCAAACCAACAAAAACCATCCCAATCCAACCATCCAATCCAACAGATCCAAAGCAGACAATCCAAACCAATCCAAACCAATCCAAACCAATCCAAACCAATCCAAACCAATCCAAACCAATCCAAACCAATCCAAACCAATCCAAACCAATCCAAACCAATCCAAACCAATCCAAACCAATCCAAACCAATCCAAACCAATCCAATCCAACCGTCCAATCCAAACAATCCCAACCAATCCAAACCAATCCAACCATCCAAACCATCCAAGTAAACCAAACCACTCGAAACCGATCGAAGCCGAGTTCCTCTTCCACTCCAAACCCAGCAGAAAACGCGAGGCTCCGGGCGGAGGCGCCGCAGCTCAAGGAGCCGCCGGCAGAGACCAAATGCGATCGGTGCGATAGGTAGGGAATGAGACGTGGAATGCACCCAGTCCGGTCCCCTTAAAGGGGTCCAGTCCGGTGCCCTTAAAGGAAACCATAGGCAATAGTGCCAATGACCGCAGCATAGATAAGGTGAGGCCAGGCCATAGGCAATGCTCAAAGGTGTTTTTCATGGGATGCTTTATTTGTGGGTCATGCCATTTCTCATTCCCTGCTGAGCACCGGCAAGTTTTCTCAGCTGAGGAAGCATCTCAAGACTCAAGCTGCAAGAAACGACTGTTAGTGGGGGAGCACACATTTGGTGAAAGGGAAGGTGGGACGAGCTCGTTGAACATTCTCTTTGCACTGGATGTGAGCACTGAAGAGTTTTGGTTGCTGCCACTTTCGTTTGCAGATGTTCTATGCGACGGGCAATTCAGAGGCTAATCAGGCTTGTTCTGAAGAACATGGAAAAAGGGCCTTGCAGATGGCGCTTTGAAGCTCCCATGAATAGATTTAGGGCAGTGAGCCATGATGTCGGAGGCCTGAGCATTAAAGCAACTCCTTCCTCTGTTCAAGCTGCCCAATTTCCTACTGTCATCAATCGCATGAAAAGAACGAAGCTAACTGATCCTCGACTGTAGGCGGGTCTTCTGGCGTGTCCAAGCGTTTTATTCTATAAAGCAAACATGGCAGTGCATCGGACACAGCATGGCAGCATTCAAGCCCGAGGCTTTTTTTCTTTTCTTTGGAACGCAGACACTTCAACGAGTTGGGATGCCGACCCGGCCTAGATTGTGTTGCTTGCCGCGAAATCTGTTTACACAAGGAGCTTGCCCAGGGGCTTCAACAGGCGTCGTAGCTCTAGCCACTGTCTTTTACTTTGATTGAAAGAGGCAATACGCCAGGGAGTAGCCTGATCAATTCCTCAGCCTTGTCTTTTGACATGTGCTTTGCTTTGATGATCTGACCAGCTGTAGGTGGATGGATAGATAAACCTGCTTTGGTGGTCATGTCGTGGGTGCTCTGTCTCCATTTGCTTGTGCCCCTGCTTCTTTGGTGAAGTGTTCTTCAGGTTCTGGTTTGGAATCGTTTCTCAAGCCAGCTCAAAAATCAAGCAAAGGATCACTTGCGCCAAAGGACCTTTGAATGGCCTCAATGATATCCACCAGAGTAGGATGCAACCTATTTGCTTGTTCTGTACAAACGGAGCCGCTTGTCAGATATGGGCTTTGAAATCAATGCCGTGCCAGTGAATCCCAGGCATGCTTCGCAGATGTGTCACATCTCGCCGAGCGCGGCGAGGATTTCCACCTCAACGACAGCGTATACTTTATGATGCGCAAGGTGCAGGCGGATGAACAAGACGTATCATAGTGCGCGTGTAGAAAAAGGCGTGGCTGCTCAGCACGGGATCTCAGAACCTTTGAAAGGCTTGCAAGTCACTTTTGCCCGTGCATCAGGCAGCTCATGGGTGCTTCAGCCAAGCAGCGGTCTTGTTCAAGCCAGTTGGCCCGACCCCTGAACAACTATTTTCGACTTGCTGGGCGCATCCCAGATTGTCAGACATGAAACAGGGTGCCGAGCAAGGAATTGATGCAATAGCTCAAATACCTGGACACTTATAGAAGGCACAATTACAAACCTGAGTCGAATGCTCGGAACAGATGCTTACAGTGGCACAAACCTAGATATCGGTGTGGCTCAAAATTAAAGGGCTAGGGTTGCGCAGCTTTTAGTCTTTGGTCCCATTTCCCAAGGTGCCATTTTGGTATTTATTTGAGCCACAGCCATATGTTCTCGGCACACCGATCTTCAACGATTGACCCATAAGGATGGAATGGTGCCATGTTGGCGTGCCATTTTAGACTTAGGCTAGGTCGTACCGTGTGAGCGGAGGCAAATCGCTGAGTCATGTGGAACAGGCAGATGCGGTCCAAATGCCCCCAGCGCCTCCAGTTCCAGCTTTGTTTTTTGGGGGTAGAAGAAAGACTCAGCCAATTGAAAGATTCTGGGCTCGAGGGCCTCGACCACTCGTAGCTTGCCACTTGCAAGACGGTTCAGGGATTCCTAGGCTGGTTGGGGCGGCCCATGCCGTGATTTGGCAAAGGGATGGCCGTTTCAGTGCACGCAAACGTGTCGTATTTAGGTCTTTGTTCTTTCCCTGAGTCTTGACTGTGAGACATTGTCATACGCAGCCTTGCGCTTGAGCTGAGATAGAGATGTCCCTGGGCCTGTCTTTCAACCGTGCCACCGGACAGCAACTTTTCTGCCGCCGCACAGCTTTTCACCTGAGGCCACCTGAGCTTAGCTACAGTTCATTGGAAAGGTCAGCAACATGACAAGCATGCGCAGGAAGATGCAGCCACCTGAACAAGTGTTGGGTTTACAGCAAAGAGATCCTCTTAAATGCAAAGAGGCCAAGAAGGATGGGTGTCTTGGCCATCTAATGTCCACCGGTGGCTTTTGGGCAGGGAACCCTCCAGTTGGTTTCTACAGCCAAGGCGCATGGCCCACAAGTGGACGCCTCACTCGTCAGCCGCATTTTACGCGTGCATTACCACGGGTCGACCACTCACGGGCTGAAGAGCCCTTGCATGGCCAGGCACGGGTCTGAGTCGGAATGCGAAGTTCGGATTGAGAGACGGGAGATGGTCCAAGATGGTTTGGGTTGGTTTGGGTTGGTTTGGTTTGCTTTGTGACATCTGGGTTTGCCCGGGCCATGCTTTTTGATCCAAAACCAGGGACTCTGCACCCGATCTTTTGGATATTCGAGGGCACCCGCTCACCTCCGGGGGGCGGGGGCGGAGGGGCCGGGCGTGTGGGAACAAGGCATGGTATTTTGTTACTCATCATGCTGGTATCGAGTCGCGATGCCAAGAAAAGCGGGCTCGAATAATGGGGGAGGTGCATCATCCTTTTATGGTGGGAACGTTCATTCAAAAAAGAGCAGGGCTCCGTAAACGATACATTTTGCCCATTTGAAACATGTTGCTTTTTCCACCAAAGTAAAGGGAAACCAACATTAAAGTTCAGGTGTATAATGTAAGGATCCCTGAGAAAAGCAGTGTGCCGGTCATTTTTGAGGCATGATCTGGGACGCCAGCGATGCCAACCCCATGCACCGGCGCCTCCCCGCGGAGGCACAAAGCGAGGGGCAGAGCAAGCTCCTTTTTTTTTACATAATAAGTGAGAATAATAATTATTTTTTATTATTTAAGGGCTGCCGCCCAGTGCCGCCGACCCCTTCAATTAAATGAACAAATTCTTGATTCTCCGGTGCGGCGTTCGCGAGCGAGAATCGGGAATGCGCCAATCCATTTTTTTCCTGTGGGGGGGGGGACCTTTTCAGCTGGATGGGCACATTCTTGATTCTCCGGTGCGGCGTTCGCGAGCGAGAATCGGGAATGCGCCAATCTACTTTTGTTTTTTTTCTCGGGGGGGGGGGAGACCCCCTCAGTTGGATGGGCGCATTCTTGATTCTCCGGTGCGGCGTTCGCGAGCGAGAATCGGGAATGCGCCAATCCACTTTTTTTTTTCCTGTGGGGGGGGGGACCCTTTCAGCTGGATGGGCGCATTCTTGATTCTCCGGCGCGGCGTTCGCGAGCGAGAATCGGGAATGCGCCAATCCACTTCTTTGTGTTTTCTTTGGGGGGGGGAGACCCCCTCAGTTGGATGGCGCCAATCCACTTTTTTTTTCTGTGGGGGGGGGGGGGAGACCCCTTCAGCTGGATGGGCGCATTCTTGATTCTCCGGTGCGGCGTTCGCGAGCGAGAATCGGGAATGCGCCAATCCACTTCTTTTTTTTTTCTTGGGGGGGGGGGGACCCTTTCAGCTGGATGGGCGCATTCTTGATTCTCCGGTGCGGCGTTCGCGAGCGAGAATCGGGAATGCGCCAATCCACTTCTTTTTTTTTCTGTGGGGGGGGGGGTGTGTTGTTTTCGCACAGATTGATCTCCCGCAACATTTGGCTCAAGGCCCCTTTTGCATAATCACGACCATTCGAGCGTGAGGACAAAAGAGCCATTGCAGGCCGCTTACAGGATTATCCATCAGACAATCCACCAGGGACAATCCATCCTCCAATCATCCATTGTAGGCATACTGGACTCTCTCCGGAATAGATTCAGGGACCAACAACGACCTCAACTACCACAGGGTTCCAGTTCCCTCCGGGGATAGGCACCTGGGGCAGTGGGCCTCAATTTGTGGTAGCGGAGCGGGTTTTCCGCAGAGATCCAAGGGAAGATGTCATCAGATGGAGAAGGTTTCATGGAAGCCTACACAAGTTCGGCAAAGCCGAGCTACACGGAGGAAACACTTAATTTATCGATGACCGCCAAGCAGCCGCCATCGTACGACGGAAAAGTCAGCTGGTTCAGGTATGAAGAACTCGTGGACGACTGGGTGACAATCACCACAGTAGAAGCAGCCAAGCGAGGTCCATTGCTTAAGAGCAGACTCACTGGAGATGCTTACATGTACAAGGCCGTCCTCCAAAATGACCTTTTGCAAGATCCTGATGAAGGAGTCAACTATTTCAAGAACACGCTGAAGAAGTACTTTTTGAAAGGTGCGATCAACGTGTATCTGTACAGACTCCTCAGTTTCTTCAACCACAGAAGGCAGAACCAAGAGTTCCTCATTTTTACCTCAAAATTCGAGATCCTTCTCATGAGATTGAAGGCAGCATGGATGGACTTGATGCCAATCTTTACGGCACAGTCTCCATCATTCCGACAGTCCGTACAGGACGCAAACGCGAGAACAATTGCTCGACATCAGCAAGCAGCCGGTGCTCGAGCACCGCCTCCAGCCCTGCTAAATGAGGACGATCCTACAGTCCTCAGACAATATATCCAAGGAATGCAGGACAGACAGCGGGACGCATTTCCCTTCGGGGATAATCTCATTGCACAGTTTTTCATTATACCAAGTGAGTTGTCAGATCAACAAAGAGAACGACTCACAAGTGCAATGTCATTTAGGAACATCTCACTCGAGAATTATTCCTATGAGATGCTGAAGACACGCTACCATGAACTCTTCATCACTACGAGGACATCGATCCAAGATCCATCCATCCGACCTCAAGGAGGCAGCCGAAGCAACACATTCTTCATCATCGAACAAGGTGAATACGAAGGAGAAGAAGGCTTCTGGGTTGAGGATGAAGAAGGACTTGAAGGATTCATGTCAAACAACGATGAAGAGACGTTCTGGGTCCTCGAGGAGAACGATGCACGTATCGCGGAAAACAACAACTCCAAAACCTGCAGTACCTCATCCAGCAGAGAACATGTTCGTCGAGGACCTCACATCTATTCCTGAACAAGCACATTGGAACTGTGTACGTAAGGGAAAGATCCACGTTCTCGAGATCTTTGCAGGAAGTGCCAGATTCAGTCAATGCTGTGCACTGTCAGGTCTTAAGGTTGGGACTCCCGTGGACATCCGCACAGGATTCGATGTAATGACATCCAAGGGACGACACATGGTCATGGAGATCATCAGGGAACAAGCACCTGATGTCATCCTTATGGCACCAGGCGGACCATGGTCAAATATGCAGAACATCCAGCAAGACCAGCAAAAGGTGGGGGAAAAGCGGAAACGCTACCTTCCCATGGTTGAATTTGTGGCATCCATTGCGCGTTACCAGTTGAAGCACAGAAGATACTTCATTATCGAAAATCCTCAGACATCCAGGATATGGTATCTGAAATGCATGCAGCAATTGTTTTCAGACCCATCCGTGACCTGGGGAGATTTCCATTTCTGTGCATACGGACTAAAAGATCCTGAATCCGGGCTCAGAAGTCTCAAGCCCACGAGCTTGATGCACTGCTTACCTTCCGAGGTTATGAGACCGATCTTCAGAAGGTGTAAAAACTTGTTCCAGCTCAGTAAAGCATGAACACCAACCCCTAGAGGGAAACGCTGGTTCCTTCGGAAGCAGAACCAAACTGGCACAGGTGTATCCTTACCAGTTCTGTCAGGACCTTGCGCACATCATCTTACGACACTTGCAGGTGAAACCGCGTGACAACGAGGTGTACCTCTTGGAGGACCTTTTTGAACCATTCACCATCAAGCAGGTTGATATCCTGAGAAAGGAGATGGAAGCCATTGACAAGGAGTTCAACATGACCAGCAGCAGTCTTGCAGTCAGAATCCAAGACCTGCCGTTCAACAAGGATGTTCAACCATTAGTCATTCAAGATCCGCTAGTTCAGAAATGAAGCAGTACCCACCTGGGACTGAAATTGATATCTTCAAGCAAGATCCTAATGACTGGCGATGTCAGAACATGTGGAACGGCTGCAAGAAGTTGAGGCAACTGTGCATCTCATCCACTCAGTATGATGCATGCACTGCATACGTCCAC